GTGGGTGTAACGTTCCAGTTGCTGGGTTCGTCTGTGGTGAGCTTCCAGGGAGATTTGCAGATCTGGAGACAGGTTCTTAGGTGGGTGTAACGTTCCAGTTGCTGGGTTCGTCTGTGGTGAGCTTCCAGGGAGATTTGCAGATCTGGAGACAGGTTCTCAGATGGGTGTAACGTTCCAGTTACTGGGTCTGTCTGTGGTGAGCTTCCAGGGAGATTTGCAGATCTGGAGACAGGTTCTTAGGTGGGTGTAACGTTCCAGTTGCTGGGTTCGTCTGTGGTGAGCTTCCAGGGAGATTTGCAGATCTGGAGACAGGTTCTCAGGTGGGTGTAACGTTCCAGTTACTGGGTCTGTCTGTAGTGAGGTTCCAGGGAGATTTGCTGATCCAGAAGCAGGTTGTCAGGTAGGTGTAACAGGTTGTCAAGTTTCCAGGTAGTTATGGTAACTCTGTAAGAAGTATCCTGATAGTTATGCTGGCTCCATAATTGGTATTGAGGTTGTCATGTTGACACAAATGAAGCAGACAGGTAGTTATGCTTATCCTGAAACGTGTTGTCAAGCAGCTTGTATAACCTCCGAAAACATAGTTTATTTTCTAACTGAATTTCTGACTACTCACCATGTATAGATTGCCTGTATTGTTGTATGTACGTTTTTTTCATTCCAATCTTCGTTTCTTAGCTTGACTGTGCTTTGTTTTTAAAACTTATTTAATATCCTGATTCATATTCACTGTTTGTTCTTTCTACCGTAACAGCCCTGGTGGCCTTAATGATTTCTTATGCAGAACAAAAATTCTTTTGCAGGTTTGGCACCTGTGTCCTGGGGGCTATACTGTATTTCGGCATAGTTTTCTATGTCCAAATGGTACAATATTTAACGAAGAGCGAGGAATCTGTGACTGGTGGTACAACGTCCACTGCGAGCGTCTTTGTTGAAACTTCATAAACCGTCAACAGATGGCGACAGCGTTTTAATGCAAGGTTATGGATATCATCCGAATTTTTCATTCTATCGGATTTTGAGGTTCCAACCTAAGTTGTAGCAGTTCGAGCATTAGAACTGGATTAAAAAAAATATTAATAATTGTTTTAGTAAACAGGAAAACCAAAGGATAACATGTTATTAAGATATTCATATTTAGGATGTTTAATTCTGTATACATTTACTTAACATCCAATCAATACGTATGTTTATCATTACAGAGTATTATAATTTAACTTTTTTTTCAACAGTTTAATCTTAAAATATTTTGACTGACTAACTTTCATGTTGCTTAGAAAGTAAAGTTTTATATTTAAATTATTTCTTAACTTTTTTACGGGTATCTTCCATTTAGCTTTGGAAACTTACAGTTTAATAAAAGTTGCCGAAGTGTTTTCCATACTATCTTTTAGAAATCAATCTTTCTGTTACAAGCCTGTTGGTACCAGACTACAAAGCAAATGTTTCGTTTTGTTGTAAAATTTTACATTGTTGGGCGAGTTCTTTTGGAGCATTTGGTAAAAAATAATATTAATTCTATTGCATGTAATGTTAACAAAAGCGTTTTGCAAAGGGTAAGTGTGATATATTAAAATAATTTTGAAGTCTTGCTACGTCGCTACAGTCAAAGTCGCCATGTCCAGTCATACTATGTCTGACGACAGTATTTCTGTTTTTACAGTTTGGTTACTACATGATCAACTTCAGTATTTTATAACTTATTAACTTAAGCTTTTATTTGTCTTGTAGTACTAATTACGAAAACATGCTCAAAGTAAATAAAAAGTACAATTTGCTTTAAAACCTGCTATGATAATTTGCTACAATTTCTTTCAATTTTAAAGATATTTAAAAACACTTTTATCAAATTGCGAGAGTGCAATTTAGAAAAAAAAATCTAAGTTTACTTTGCGCATTCGTAGTTACCTAAAATATTAAAAGCACCAAAATATTTTTGTTCAAATGTAAAGTTCGACATACAACAGTTAAATCGTTTTTCCACTGAAGTCGACTTATATTGTGACATAACTGTATGCTTCCTATATCTTTTTTCTCTACACAAAAACAATGTTGACTGTTTAATTTTCTGAGAGACTTTAACATTAAAATTCTCAACTTAATGGTTTACAAAATGTTTCTATAAGTAACATAAACATCATATGGCCCATACGTGATATTAGACGACGTTCTGTTTCAACACATCTATACCAGCCTGTTTAAGAGTATTCATACCGTATACAACGTATAGGTCATTGATCAATATACGTTTCAGAATATGTAATTATACGTCTTTTCTAGACTTATGTCAACTGATCAATGTGTATCGCAAATGGTTTCAATAGTAAATTAACATCGAGAAACGGTGAAATAGTTGGTTAGTTGTTGGGTTTTTTGATGGTCAAACAGGATCAGCATTAGGGTACTTACTTCTGAATAATTAAGTTAACTTTCACGAAGTTAAATGATCTGAACACATTTTTATTTCAATTTTTTCTATCTCAGTAACGTGAATAGAGAACTAATTAAATCATTCTCTGTTATGATGCAAACGAAAATGAAAGAAGGACAAATTGGCAACATTTATTGATATCTTCGATTCGTCTATTAATTGGGAAATACAAACAATGCTTGAGATGGTTTTAAAACAATGAAAATGATAACGATTACTCCTGTCCTAAAAACGACTGAATTCAGCACCTATTTCATTTTCTAAAGACTTTATTAATACCAGAAAGAGATCTGTAGTAAAAGGATATAAAGAAACTAACACTCACAGCCGGTGGATGTCCAAAATTCCCAGTCTCTCTTGGAAGACGGAATAAGCTACACAGTGCCAAAACGAAAATTTTCAGAATTATCAAGAAAAAGGTGAAACAGTTTGGTGAAAAAGCACTAAAAAAATGTGTGTAGCGTGTGTGGCATGAGCTATTTGTTACAGAAGTCTTAACACTTGAGTCAACAGGTAGACTGCTTTGTTAGTGACTTAAATTCTTTATTTCCAAAAACATTAGACTAAGAAGAAGAATATATACGTTTACAAGAGACTTGAGATATACAACATTTACAATCTTGTGGTTTGCAGGAACAGTTTATTTTTGCTATGAAACAGGTGCAGAAGGTTAATCCTACTTTATAAAAAATGGTTCAAGGTGATTTCTTCTACTTTCGGCAGTGCAATACTACCAAAGATCTTATGTTCGAATAAATATGTCACAGAACTTTCTGAGGAGGAAATTCGTATAGCGAGATTATTGAACATAGTAGAGCCAAAGAACGATCTCCATGGGAACCACATCTCACACAGATTTATCTCCATCCTGAAAACTATGTTTACAAAAGAGCAAACTCTGACCCGTAAATCCATTGCATGGAAGCTGGGCATGTCTCGTGGTTTTGTTGATGAGAAAACATAATAAGAATTGAACATGAAGGAAACTCACAAGTCAAACTTCACAACTTTCCAGCCACATCTCAAACCTACCACTGTTTTCTTTAGAAACTAGAATCACAGTAATTTATTTAATTAGATACCGATCAAGTCCACCAATACAATTCCATTAGACTTTTGTACCGTTGAAAACCGATGTTCAAGCAGAGCGAAGGATCTGAGGAAACCTTCACAAGGTGTTTGGCCTAAGTTTGACATCACCATCCTTTAGTCTGACCTCACCATTGTTTGATTTGACTTCAACATCCTTCAGGTTGATCTCATCATCCTTCGGTGTGACATCACCATCCTTTGGACTGACTTCATAATTCTTCAGGTTGACCTCACCATCCTTTGGTTTGACCTCAACATCCTTCGGTGTGACATCACCATCCTTTGGACTGACTTCATAATTCTTCAGGTTGATCTCACCATCCTTTGGTTTGACCTCAACATCCTTTGGTGTGACATCACCATCCTTTGGACTGACTTCATAATTCTTCAGGTTGATCTCACCATCCTTTGGTTTGACCTCAACATCCTTTGGT